TCTTTGATAGTATCATACATTTCTCTCATTACTTCATATTTGCCGTTACTATTACTGTATCTGAAAAATTATTAATAAAGTTTCGCCCAACATTTCGGGCTTCAAATTTTATGTGTGTAAAAATATTTAGTGACGTAAGTTATGGATCGTCTGACTGATTTGTGCGACAATAGATTTCATATAAATACACCCAAATCCTTGCTCCCTGCAAATTCTTTCTTTTTTTCTGAACTGAACAACTGTCGACTACACGTTTGTCTCAATATATTTTTTAAAAAATGTCCGCTATTCACGCTAATCTGTCAGTCGAAAAAGTTGAAGCTTTGAGTCCAGCAGATTTTATTATTTATTTAAACACCAAGAAAGAGGCGTTATTTCTTCGTGATGATCATATTAACGCCCTTGCAAGCCGAGAGCTTTCTGGTTCAAATTTTCTCAAGTTGACCACGGAAAGGCTTATTAATCCTCCTTATAACTTTCTTGATGGACCAGCAGAAAGAATAGTGGATTTTGTTACTCGATTAAACGACCAAAGTAAGTTAAAATAGTTTAACGTTTGTACGCCTCGCGTGTTATTCAACGAACGTCTTTCTAGTCTAGTATTTATTAACTCATCCCATTTTTTTTAGGGCTTCTAAGTCTTGAAGAATATTTATCGTATCCTCCGCCATATATCACATATTCTCCGCATGGTACTAGCTCGACAAGTTCTACAAATGCAGTCGGTAACCCTCCGGATGAAGTGACACTCTGGGAAGACTTCCTCGAAAATGTAAATGAGTATATGTTCGACCAAGAACACAAATTCCAAAAACCGATATTTAATACAAAATTTAAGGCAACCTTTGAAGAAATTGTTCGCAATGCTTTTAATGTAAACATTTGTATGATTTTGAATGAGGTTATCACAGATTGTGAGTTTGCAATGCGGGGAGTTCAAGGTACTGGTAGCCCAGATTTTGCTTGCCACAAAAAAGATGATGATAAACTGATCATGGCAATTGAAATCAAGAGATATCACATTTTACTAGGTATCAAACCTGATCAAACATTACCCGAATTTTATAAAGAGGATGCTAAAGCAAGGATGGTGATACAGCAAATTTACAACTACTTGTCAGAAAACCAGCTTAAATACGGAGCACTTTCTACTTACGATAATAATTGGTTTGTTAAGAGAGAGCATAAACGTCTATATATTTCAAAGTCACCTTCATTGGATTCAACACGTCCACCAATTCTCAAGAGCTACGCATATCTAGCTCGGCTAGCAAAGCGCGACCATTATTCTCTTCATCCTAGCATCATTCCGCAAATTGACGATTCACAATATAATCTTCGAAAACGTTCACACGATGATTCTGATGATGATCGTTATGATTCTAACTCAAATCCACAACTCTCTAGAAGTCAACGATCATCTTTCAATCGATCATCTTCCGGTACTTCTGGAAGTCAACAATCATCTTCCAAACAATCAGCTTCTAAACAATCATCTTCCAATACCTCTGGAAAACAAAACATGAAGGCACAGAATTTTAACTATGGGGACTTTAAGTATAATAGTATATTAAGCGCTGGAGAAAATAAAAAGGTGCTTGAATGTGAATTCCATGGACAGACAATTGTCCTAAAGTGCACTGATTTGTCAAAGAAACCCAATTGTTTGGATGAATTGCTGAACGAAGTTAAAATTTATAAATCTCTTGCTAAACTTCAGGGGATATATATTCCAGAATTGTTGTTTTATGGCGATTTGGCAAATGGAATGAGCTTTGTTATGGGTATGTCCATGGTTGGCACTACGTTAAGTCATCATAAGATAGATAAAAGGCAAAAGAAGAGGGCTCTCGGAGCATTAGATAAAATTCATGATTATAAGATTCTTCACAATGATATTCGTGAGGAAAATATCCTTGTTGACGAAAAAGGATATGTGTATTTGACCGATTTTGGAATGTCAATTCGAAATGATGATAAAGAGTTGTTTAGTAAAGAGAAGTGTGAGTTATCCCGTTTATTAGACTGCTATATGTGATTAATATTTACTATGCGAAATTCACAAAATATCAAGTTAGCTATTTTAATGTCATTGTAAATACGATTATTAATAAAGTAATACCTATTTGCTATATTATGCAAAAAACAAAAAAAAATGTGATCGCTAAAATTCTCGAAAATGATTTGCAGAGTCAATTAGAGTTGGGATACATGACCTCGATTCACATGCCATGTAATCTAACCGAAATATCAGACATCGCACAAATATGATTATCATCTGCATGTATATGATTCTGCGCAATTCGATCAACATGTATCAGCTAAATTAGACCTGAACTCTGTTTCGGCTAAATTGCCTCGCACATCTGATACATTTTCGGGCCTAGTATTTTTTTTTTAACTGATTGCTAATACGTAATGAGGTATTTTTGCCTAGACTCGAGAATGATTTAATCGAATAATAACGGTGGCTTAGCTATCATGTTACAAAC